CCCCCCCCCCCCCCCCCCCCCCCACACACACACACACAAAAAAAAAAAGCTTCTAAAGATCCAGAGAGAAAGAGTGAATATTCTGGTGACATTCTTCTCAAAAGCCAGGAAAAGTGGTATTTGTATAAGGTAGCAACTTACACCGTGAACGAATTTGAACAATATAATCAAATATTATTTACTTAAAGCTATACAGCTTAGCTGATTTACAAGCTTATACTCGAAAAACAATTTGTAAAAATGTGAAGCCTCACATGTCAAAAAAGGTGAAGGTACCTTAGCCATGCAGAAAGAAGCAATTCTTTGATATATTTTTAAAACCAATCAAGCGCGTCAAAATCTGTAGTGGGCAGTGCGTTAAAAAATGAACTGTGAAGAAGTGAAGCTCTGCGTTCTAGTAGGTGTTTTAGCGAAAGAAAAGTAATCTTATACTGTTGTTGCGAGAATATTGATTAGAGGTAAAGAAAGCTTCGATTTCATAAATCTGTTAAGAAACTAAGATATCCTCGCCCAACAACGATGGACAAATCGATTTTCTGTAACGCGGAATTCGGTATCCTTGAACGTTGTAAACCTTGTTCGTTTATGCCGTGAAGACTGGAGTTAGTGCAGAATAACAAAGAGGGCATAACATTCTGCCAAACATCATAGGCTAGTCTCCCGTTACTGTGTTTTAAATAGCAATCAAATTATAAGTTAGCAATCACGTTATAAGTTGTTACTCTATAGGTAGGTCAGTTTTTCACTTGGGTCACTCCGAAAGTTTTTAACTTTTTCGCCCACCAATGAAGATGAATGAGTTCAAATTCAGATATTTGTTGAATGTACAGTACTTCTAGGTTGCTTGTGCTAGTTTCGTCCTGTTCTATTGACATATAGTGACGTTGGAGCACTTTGAGTGGAAGCAGGTAGTGACATCTCGTGAACAGCGACTCTGCCCGTGGCTGAATTGCTCTATCACCTTTATCCCATTATTATCTGCTGCAGTAAGAGAGCCTCCTCAGCGATGCTTGCTAAGATAAAGCGTCCAGGTTTAAAAAAAAAATTTTTTTTTAAGGGCCAAGCCCCTTAACACGCGATGGTGTTCAACTGGTACAAGGTGGTCGGTCCATAATAAACAGTGAATCGAGATAGTGCTTAAAGTGTTCGATTCGGGCAAAAATTTGTTTCAATCAGCTTTTGGCGCCTTGAAAGCTCGACGGGGGGAGGTGTGTGAGCTGATTGGGGAATCGACCGCGCATTAAATTTAAACATTTAAAAATTATTTGAAGACTTTTTCAAAAATGGTTCGAACTTCAGGAATATGTATATGACTCCGTCCATATGAGAGATCTTTTCAGCAAAAATACGCTCATTCGAAAGATCTCGTCCAGAGCTTTCAAAAATAATGCATAGTTATCTCCACCGGGCGCAAAGATACAGCCTCTATGAAAAAAAAAAACTGTTTACTATGGACCACGTGTACTGCCTCTTCGATTGAGGGAAAAATGACGTTGAAGACGAACTCCGATCTGAGTGCCCTCTGGCAGCAGTGTCTCAGCCAAACATTGGCATGGTGCACTCTTTTGCGAGATCCTTCGTGAAGACCTTATTTACCGACTAAATTTTTATCTATTTATTAACGTCTGCACCAGTTCAATGTTTGCTCGAGTCACTGTTGGCAGAGGATGTCCAGATCGGAGGTGGATTTCAGTCATTTTCCTCGCGCTGAATGAGGGGATACCATTTGAACACAATTGCACATGAAGGGGTTTGGTCCTCAAAACCCTGGACTTTTTTCATCTAGGCCAGCATCTGCTGAGGAGGCTCCCTTCTAGTTGTACATAGTGAGCCAAAATTTTTAAAACCCAATTTCAAAATGAAATTACAGGATAACCATGAAAGATAGGATTGAATAATACAATGCATTAAGCAGGCAAAAGTCAACATTACTTACAACGAATTCTGACATTTTTCCCTTTCATTTGGTCAGAATTCGTCATGTGTCAGCTGTTAGCACCTCACATCCTGGAAACTCCATTCTGTATGCATGCTGTGTCACAATTATTGAATTAGTTTTGATATGCCCCTCAACGATAAAGATTCTTTGAAGTAAATTTATTTGAGGCATTTTGAATCTGCAACAAAAGAAAGCCCTTTCTTTTATTACTATTTATAGTAATAAAAATATTGGCTTTTGCCTGCTTAAAGGATTTCATTATTCCATCCTATCTTTCATGGTTATCCTGTAATATCATTTTGAAATCGGGTACATTTTTTTGGCCCACCCTATTTATAAAAATGATGGCACGAAAGTGATGGTGGGACAGGTTGGCCGTGGAGAGATTATCTGTTCGTATCTTACCTCCCGCCACTCAAAGTACTCAAGTGTCACTAAACGTCAACGGAACAGGATGAAACTTTCACGATTCAATTTAATTAAACCAATGGACCAATTGGTTGAAGCACCAATATGCCTTCTTATGTAAGTGAAAAGTCCAAACACTTTTGGAATGATCCTCCTACATAAATTTCATAAACAACTATCTTCGATGAAAGGGAGTTCTATTTTCATTAGACCAACTCTCAGCTTCTCTGACATTTCCGCAGTTATCCTTTCAGCCCTTCAAATGATGGAATCGATTTCGCTAGGAGAGTAGGTCAAGAAAACACACTTGTTAAGGAAGGTCGGAATTAGTTGAGAATGAGAGTGTGTAGGTGTTGTAGATGCAGGTCCTTGCCACACGGTAGTTTTTATTTTCACCGATTGAGGGAGTGTGATTACTGTAAAAGAGAAGAGAGTGATACGCATTTTTTTTTATCATTTTGTTTATAGGTCGGACGTAGCGAAAGCGGAGGGATTGCCGGCTGATTCTTCGTATTTCACCACGTCCGAGGAGAAGGCCAAGTTCTTCTCCCATTATTGGTCCGACCTCAAAGTCCATGATCAAGTCAAGATCGAGGACAGTAAGGAACTCCTTGCGAAAAAGGAGGAATTGTTGCAGAGGATTGAGGAAAAGTTGGGAGTCCTACGAGAGGAGAGGAAGCTGCTCGAAGAGGAAACAATAGGAAATGAGGCATTGGGCCGAAATATCACGATCAAGGTTCAAGCTCTTGCCCAGCAACGAGAGAAGGACAAATTTATTCGACATCTAGAAGAGATTGAGAAAATCACCTCTCTTCTCCTGGGTCTCAGTGGAAGGTTAGCCCGAGCTGAGAATGCTCTTAATGAGTCCCGATCCGAGGAAAGGGTAAGTACTAATATTCGTGCTCGTATTCTAAGTCTCATCTCCTGCTTCCCGAGTTTCCATCAACATTTTTGTATCGAGTAGAAGACTCTGGAGAGCAAGCGAGAGAAATTGAAGGAGCAGCTGGAAGAGGCGAAGCATTTGAAGGAAGGGATCGACAGGAGGAGCAAACAAATCGCCCTCTTTCTGGCCAAATATCTGACGGTCGAGGAATTAGCGGATTACGATCATTTCGTCAAGATGAAAGCGAAGCTCATCATGGACTCTCGGGAGATGGAGGAAAAGATCAAACTGGGCGAGGAACAATTGAATGCCCTAAAAGACGCCCTGAATCCCAATAAGTGATATTTTCCATCGCCTTCTCCCATTGTGATAAAAAAAAACCTTCCTTCTTTACTTGTCAGTTTTTTTCTTTCTCTCCTGGAAGTTTTATTTTCGTTGACTCTGTTGTTGTAGTGTCTTCTCTTGCATCATCCTCTTATGTCAGCATTGGCGGCTTCCTTCTATTTTTCTTTGTTCAGAGCATCATATGTGATACAGTGGAAGATGTTAATAGAAAAAGATACTCCCCATCATTGTGCATCTCCTTCCTCTTGCCAGGGAAGACACACTAAAGGAAAAAAAAAAAAAGACTTATTTATTGAGAAGCCAAATGAGTATTTAAAAGCAAAGAAAATGAATGCTCACATGAAAAAGAAAAGGGTAGAAGGAAGGGGATATGTACTGTGCGCTATGAGGTGCTATTCATGGACGATAGCTCTTGGTAGCCGTGAGAAAATGTCTATGTTCTTGGCAGCTTGATGAAACAAGTCAAACTGAGCAAGGCAGATTGAATTTTTGTAATAGAACTTGCTTTCAAGAAATCCTGATGTTATTGTTTCCTTGAGCTTCCATACTTGCATTGTGATTCCGAATTCTCTTTTTGTTTCTTGAGGTGCATGTTGAGGAAGTAATAAAAGATGGGCAGCTCAGGCTGAGAAGCTGTGACAGTGCATGATCCCAATTTTGTCCCTCATCTGGGCATAACAATAAATCAGCTTTGTTAAAAAGAGTTGATGCATTTCGTTTTCTCTCTCAAACGGGCTCTGTAGCGTGTAACAAGGAATGTCCAGCGCATCTACAGTATTGGTTGCGTATGCCATTCCATGCCACCTGGCCCAATGCTAAAGAGGCTTCATGCTTCACCATCTAAGGAAAATGTGCAACAGGCTTCAGGGGAAATTCCAGAATCCGATTTTAGCTTCTCGTGATGATTCATGAGATACGATGTTTTAACACATTGACTGCCTTGGTAATACTCTACAGTTGCATAGCGCCAAGTCATTAGAATCACCGTGGCAGCCAATGTATTGAAGTTATGCTTTCTGGTCGCTTGTGACCCCTCGTTGCATTTTCTTGACTGCAACTAATAAAGCTGTTAAATGTATATCACGGCTCATATGAAAGGTGTGAAATGTTTTAACCACCCAAGACTTCGATGGGATGTACACGTGCTAAATCCTATGGGTTTTATTTTTTCTTGGTCTGAGGAGGATGACACAAAAATCGCGACATAAGTTAGGCCTTAGTTTTCTTCATTTTCAATTTTTATTATTATTCAAAATTAGTCATCTCTGACCACAATAACATGACCCCTCGAACCATGGTGGGGGATAAGGAACACACCAAATATAGCAATGCAAAAGTCAATTTCATGGTATAAGTAGGATTTTGTTTTCTCGTCTCTACAAGGAGGAAGTCATTGCCAAATCATTGATTTTTGTGGTTCGGGTGACAAATGTCCCCAAATGACATAATGCATTTTTGGACCTCCAAAAATGCATTATGTCATTTGGGGACATTTGAAAGAGCAATCAAAAGTCGTTTAGGTAGCACATGCTCCATTCCGTGCAAGTGAGGTGTAGAAGTTTAAGAGTGACACCCTTGGCTCTTCAACATGGGTGCTTCCAATGAAAACATCTGTCTTGGTTTCCTTAGATTTCACTTAAAACGGAGCCCCCTATGCTTAACTGAGACTGCAATCGGATTTCCATGGCCTGTGGCATTCATCTATTAGCCTTTGACCCAGGCTTCAACATGAAACTGATGGACCTTCCTGTGCGAATTACTCACTCGAAAATATTTGCGATATTGGCAAATTTAAAACATTCGCGAAGGAAAATTTTCGTGAACTTCATATTCAGCAAATTCCAGAAACTGTCGCTTTTAAAATGCCCTGGGAGAGAGCCACTTTATTTTAAAGGAAAATTGGTATCCTTTGAAAGGAAACCAATGGCTAATGAATTTTTTGGCTAAAATGTATTAGCTAAAGTGAACGATATAGGCGCAATTCGACGGAAAAAGTGGAGAGACACTGAAGTTAGAGAGCATTGCTGATTGATGTGAGAAGACGAGGATTAGAGGGTGCCTGACCTTAGTTGTGTTCTGTAATTTTTAAAAATCTATTATGCATATTAATTTTGTAGGAATTCTCCAGCAATAGAAAAACTTGTGTTACAGCGAAAAATTTGGATTGGGAAATTTGTACGTTCTCCTGCTCCTCGCAAGAGTGCTCGGATAATAGTACGTTAATACCGCTAAAAAAAATTCGTCTTTTAACCCTTTACTTACGGACTTCGTATATGCCAGACTCAGCCAAACTCGACATCCCAATTTGAAGACTCCGTAGCACTCGAAGGAGTGGAGGTCTAAAGTGTATTGATATAAATTCTAGGGTAGGGTCTCGACTTCATGATGGGAACGTGTTTCCGAGGCTAATTGGCTTATGTAACATCATCAGATGGCGGTCATCTTGAACTATGTAAAAATCAATGCACCAGCGCCAGACAATGCTCTAATAAGTCATACCATTGTCAATATACCATGTAATAGTACTATTTATTTTGTTTCTACCATAGCTTCAAGAACATAACATGTTTAGATTGACGTATGAAAGGAAAGCTTGACTACCGTGCCATCTACCGAGGCGATGTGGACTCATCCGACAAGGTTTACCGAGTCTAGAGCGGCAAATTCAAATCGATGTCTCAAGGCGCCGGTCGGTGCCCGTCGCCGTTAAAGGGTTCACATTTCAGATTCCAATGCGCAACTACACAGAGGGAAAAGTAAGAAATAAGTAATTGATCAAAAACTATACCTTGAGTTTCACGGATGATACAAGCTGATTGCACAGGAAAATGCAGTGAATTCGAGTTAACTTTGATTCATGTTTCACTTCATACTAAAAAGTATGAAGTGAATTCCGTTCGTACCTTTACGGAATGATCGTACTTTCCCGGATTGACTAATAATAGAAAAGTCTGTACGGGTGAATGAAATCTTTTGAAAATGTATGAACTCCATTCGAAAAAGAACGAAGTGAAACTAAAAACATTGAATCAATCCTATTTTCCTGATTTCGCATTACAATATTTTAAAGTGGTAGCATTTTGCGTATACCTGTCGTTGCCCCCTTCAGTCCTTGCCATACTGGAGGTCAGAAGGGAGCTACGTAAGTTCGCAAGTTCTGAACACTGAAGAGTTCTCTTGAAATACGGAGTTTCGCGATTTCAATTTGGAACAAAGTTATTAAATGCGAGACTTTCATGGACTTGAATGAGGGATTGCTCGTCATCATAGAGACGATTTTGGCCGTACCCAACACGTCATCTTGTTGACCCCACTGAAAAGACGTGACGATAATCGGCACATGCGATCCTGTTGCTCTCCTCATTGCAACGGCATGCCAAGCTTCCAATCGAAAACTGCGCATCTTCTCCACTATATGCTGCAAACTTCGACTGTCATAATTTTTTTCCCTGATATATCTCGGGTGGGGTTTGGCGTCCCCGCTCTGCTACCCCCCCCCCCCCCCCCCCCCCCCCCCCCCCCCCCCCAAATGAGGAGAGCAACAGGATCGCATGTGCCGATTATCGTCACGTCTTTTCAGTGGGGTCAACAAGATGACGTGTTGGGTACGGCCAAAATCGTCTCTACGAGGTTTGATGCTCCCGAGTCAGCAGGATTTCAAGGGAAGAAATTCCACGATTTCCCACAATCCACGTCTTCACAAGCGTCGATTTCTTTGATTCTGTTTCCTGTGTCACTCGACCACAATTCCGGGGGCTCACTCTCCTTGATCGGATCCACTCGTTGGTCCCATCAATGGGACAATACGTCGATGATTGGTATCGAGCCCTCCACAGAATAAGTAAAAAGACGAAAGGAAACCGAGGATTTCAGGCAGTTGGGCCTCAGTTTTCATCGGAAGCGTCCATGTCGAATCGAACAGAGCCAAGGTTGTATTAAAAAGCGAAGGCACGTTCATGGGCCTCTTGTGCCTGATATTCACGTATCGACGATCGACGAGCCTAAGAAGGAGTGAGTTCCCGGGGCTCAAGTTGGACCTCAAATCTCTTTCTTGAAAGAGCCTAAAATTTCATCGTTTTGCGCCGGAATGACGTTTTAGGCAGGGAAAAAATATTCTATCTAGTTTTGTGGATCCAACAAGACTCAGGGAATATGAAAATTATTATTTTTTGAATATTTGTATTGAAATGAAATTTAAACTACTTAAAAATTATTATTAAATTGAATGGAATCATGCAGCTTCATCAGCACTGCTCGTAATCGAATCCTATTGTTGTGATTTTCTCCACGTTTCTATCATACTTTCCGTAATCTAATATGGTAAAAAGCTAGAAAGAAATATCTGATAGCTGGAAAAGGAATTCCTGGAAATTGCTCACTCTTCAAATTTTCTAAAAGTCTCGAAGTTCCCTTTCTTTGATCTGTCATAGATGTCCACAAAGACCCAACTGAAACACAGGAAACGATCAGCTTGGACTGCTGTGACTGCTAACAGTCGTTGGGAGTCATTCCACAACAAAACATTCCCAAACCAGGAAATTTGTTGCTCTGCCGTCTCTAATTTCCTGGAAAATTTACATGCTGCTTTGTGGAGAATAGAATAAATTGGAAACTATGATGTTTTTAACATTAAATCGTTCTCGACAAATGGTGGGTCTAATTGTGAAAAAATGGCCTATTTTATGCATACTACAAAATTTTCAAAAAAAATTTTCTTGTATTGTAAAACTACGAGAAAGGTGTCAAACGAAAGATCTCAAAAAGTTATTTCTAAAGATTTGTAATATGTGAATAAGTGAAAGGCTTTCAAAGGATGTAGAGTGATCTGGATACCCACTGTGTCAAAAGGTGATTCCAGAACACCTGCGGGTAATCTGGAATCAATACTTCGATATTCAAAGTTGTAGATGCCACTAGCGGGACCTCAGATCACACTGGGGGTTTTGTCGAACAAAAAGTAATTTCGGTTTCCCTTAGCGAACTGCAAATTATATTTGCAATAATCAGACTGGTAGTATCAGACTGCTAATAAAATAATCAGTTGCCCACAAGTGCGAACCCCTCCGCACACTTTCACTTTGAAAAATCACATGGCATTACCGACGTGACATCCTTCGTTGTTTTTTTTTTTTTTAAATCCGTACACTTTTTGCTAATAAGTTCTCTTGCAGTTGCAAATAGAAGGACCCTATCCTAAGAGTAATCACGACGACTCGATACAGTTCACCTCTTTCCGCAGCAACAGCGCGTTTCCATTTGTCACGTTCTTCTTCATTTCTTGGCGGTATGGAAAAGAACCTTTTCACTCGGCACGAGACCAGAAACAGCACCATTTACTACGAACTCTGCCTAATCCCAGAGGGCGGATGACGACGAAGTGTCGATCCATCCGTATCCTTTAACACGTTAACTGCCATTAGAATCGACTAGCGTAAGTATAGCGATAGAAAGCAGATTGCAACACAGATTTCGGTTGCTGTTAGTCGTCTTCGGCGTTAGATTCCCCCTTTTGCATTTGAATTCTGCCCTGTCATCGCCTTCGCCAGCCGATCGATCGACCGAGATGAAACGTGGAAACGCGTATTCGTGTCGTCGATGTATCCCGGGTTGACTGCCACGAGAAATTCGTCAACGATAGGGGAAGCGAGAGCCTCAGGTGGGTCTGAGGATTCTGGCGTCAAACGCCACAATTCTCATCGATTGCATTGCATGCTGCGATCTGTGGCTCTCAAATAGGGCTTCGATTTCGGGAAAGCTTCATTTTTCACTTAATCTACCTCTGAGTCATTCCATACGAACTCGACCATCTCGGATTTCACGATAGAAATTTTAAGCGATTGCAGTCAATGTAACGACCCGGTAAATTTAAATAAGAATCACTTCTATCGGTTCTGCGTTCCGCGAGACATCGCCTCCCGAACTTTTTGAGAAAACGGAAAAACCCCATGGACGGCAAAATTTCAATCTTGAGAATCATTCCCCGTACGAAGGCGTGCAATGGCTTCAACCAGAGCTCTTCAATAGGTAAACAATTCGCGCCATAAATCCTTGGAGTTGGATTTGGACGTCATTTTTGAACTTGAAAATGTGAAAACATATGCATATTTGACCCCCCCAATATCTCCATGTGGCGAAGGAAAAGACGAATTAGGGTAAGTTGCAATCCTTTTTCAGCTGCATCGATAAAGGAACTTACTTCTTCGAATTTTGGTCCGCTACATCGAGAAAAAGTCCCCTGAGTATCGGAAATATCTCAGTTTTGGTCGAGTAATATTTTTCAATGTGACGGAGCACTCACGGTGTCTTTGGTAGTGTCATTAGAAAGGGGAGCTTCAGCTCTTTCCAAAAAAGTATGATTTCTTGTGTCTTTTTCGAATAACTTTTTTTCCGTTTGTCATAAGTAGCGTATTCCAAATATTCACTTTTTCTTTAAGCGGATGAATCTATTCGTAGCATATACCGCTAGAGGTCTTTCAGAGCTTTATCGATGCAGCTGAAAGAGGAGTGCAACTTACATTAACGAGTGATTCGTCTTTTCCCTCTCCATGCGAGGATATTGGGGGGTCAAATATACATATATTTTCAGATTTTCAAGCTCAACTATGACGTTGAAAACCAACACCAAGGATTTATGAAGCGAATTGTTTACCTATTGAAGAGCTCTGATCGAAGCCATTGCACGCCTCCGTACGATGAACGATCCCCGAGGTGGAAATTTTCCTGTCTATGGGGTTTTTCCGTTTTCCCCAAAAGTTCGGGAGGCGATATCTAGCAAAACACAGATCCGATGGAGATGATTCTTCTCTTTTTTTTTACGGGGTTGATAGATTGAATGCAATCGTTGAAATTTTTATCGCCAAATCTGAGTCGCTCGGGCGCCACTTTATATTAATATTGGTTGAGTTCGTATGGAATGAGTCAAAAAAAGATATCGGCAGATCAGTCTTTGATATCGTTGTCAATGCTAAGTAGAGTACTGCAGCTGCATCGGGGCAACCACTGGAAACTTGGACTCTCGCACTTCACATTTTGAAGTTGCTTTTCACCGTTAGGTGTGATTTTAATGATCAAATTTTTGTTGGAATGAAACTTGAACCACTCAAGTTCAGTACGTTGATTGAACAATCTTTGTTGTCATCAGGCATCAGAGAGCGATGTTATAATATTTCGGGAGCCCTATTGATAACGGTAACGAGAAGAAAGGACTCCATCCTCTTTTCCGATTATCCAGGCACCAGGAAGCCAAGGGGATATCGATGCGCGAGGTCTCATTCCTCCCCCATGAAAGGCTGGGATTCCCATTATTTTTCTCATACGCCCAATCATGTTGTGTGCTTTAATGGAAAAGATTCTGCAAATTCTAGCCGAATAAGTTTTCACGATTTGTTTCACTCTGAAGTAACTCTGAATCTTCCTCCTTATCTCAAGCGAAAGACTCAATTCACTTCCGAGAAGGTAGCTACGACAAGGAATATCGCATCTTGTCGAGTCCGTGTCGAAAGGGTCATACAGAAAATGTGTGGATGTGCTGCGATGGACTACCTTCCATCAAATCTACATCCCTCAACAACAGAGATAATGAGAAAATAATGATGTTCGGTGAATCTTCAAACTCCTATCATTCATAGGGAATCGGGCGAAGAAGGTCTAAGGTGAGTTTTCATCGAGAAGGGGTGAGTTAAGAGCATTGAGCGAGGAAGACGAGCGCGTGGTGCATATACCCTCTCACGCAAGCTTCGTGCACCTGAGGGTGGGACTAGCGGAATAGCAATTTGCGGGCCTTTAATCCGCAAGCCCTTTTATGACTTAGCCACAGCTGAATCAATCACTTCGACATCATGATATCTGGTCCCCATGAATGATTTTATAAAAGGAAATTGAAAATTATGGACCAAGGTGTGATATGCATATGGGCAGTAGCAGCTCGTGATATTTAGCGCTAGTGGTCTGTAGGCAGGGGAAGGCTACCCCCTCTCCATAGACGAACTACTAGCGCTAAATATCACGAGCCACCATTGCATATGGGGAATGAGCAAGAATGTCCCAGATCCACAACTCAAGCAGGTTGACAACACTTCGCTTGCAAATGTTCTGCAATAGAATGGGACCGGATTCCGGGAAGATCTGGGCGCTAAGATGAAGAGTAGGCGCTGCATTCCTGGCAATGACCTCTGGTTTCTGCACATACCTGATGTAGTTGGCTAAGAGGCCTAAGTTATACCAACACCATCAATTCCTTTATTTTCCATGCACTGTCCTACTCTCCTCAGATAGAACCCTCCTCCCCAATACATTTCCCTGCCCTCGACCTTCTCCAATATTCCCACTGTAGGTACTTGAAGGACTAGAAAAGGTGAAGACCTGCTCTTCGCCTGACCCAGCTTCCATCCCATTTCGTATTAAGATTTTGCCCCGGAACTCATTGTTAAAGTTAGGGTAAGAACCTAATTTGTGGAAGGCTAACAATCATTCCAATTCCCAAGTATCCATCCAAGTGTGTGAATGGTCCTTGCTACAATTCTAATATAATTATTCTATCATTGCAATAGGGTGGCAAGGATCATCTTGAAAAAGAAAGATGAGTGAGATGAATAACTTTCATGCCACAGCAACCCCCATTTAATTATATTTAAAATTTTAAAATCCACCACCGTGATGATGAGAACCACAACAAGCATATTTACTGACGTGATTCAAATTTTTCTGCAGGGTATGGTGAAAAAAGACTGACAACTTTTAACCTCTAGATTTCAGCACCTACCAGAGCTATTTTCACAAAACTTGCAAAATGCACAGATGGATACTTTTAGATGGCAGATATAAACTAGTTTATTACCAGGTTAGAAATGAGAGCATATGTCACTACTTGTTTTCTAGCAAAATTCAGTAAATAATTCATGGAGAAATATATGAAAAATGAGAAATGTCCCTGTGGCAGTATTGGAAATAATCTCCCTGAAAAAGTGATGCACATATCCCCATATTTTGTTATAAATCACTTTCACTCCATTTCTATAAGGCCCACCTTTGAACATCAAGTACATAACATTTTCTCAAGAGTTAAAATGGTGTTGGGTCCCCCTTGGCATGGATGACAACTTTGTTGGATCATACAGGCTGTCAGTGTGTACACAAGTTATGCTTTGACACATGTCCCTGCTGTGGGACATGTCCTGAAGTATTCCAATAACTTGCCTGGACTTACCAGCCAAATGATATCCAACTACCATGCCCCATTAAAAAGCAGTGGGCTCTTGAGCTCTCATAATACTGTTCACTGAAGTTCCATCTCATATCATGTACGTACTGGCAGACAGGCATGTGGTTGCTGAGGCCCATCAAGATACTTTGTACAACACTGTCAGTAATCATTTAAATTGCCAAAAGTCATTGACTTTTGGCAATATAGTAGGTGCCAGTGCTACTACAAGAAAATAGGCAAGTTCTCTTTTATTATAAGGATTACTGTTACAATGAAGTAAGTCATGAACTCTTAGCAGTCAGAGATGCCTTGAGACCCTGCTTTCGCCACTGCTTCATCCGCTGTGACTTTTTCCTCTCTTCCTCATCAGGGTCTTTCCCTTCCAGAATGAGCTTCTTTCGCTTGTTCACCCGATGGCTGAGCTCAAACTCAGACTCCTCCAGCTTGATCTGGCACTGACGACGAGTGACAGCAACCTGGGTCAAGATCTTCACCACTTCTTTGTCAGGGAATGCCTGTTCCGAGATACGTGTGTTTATGACCTTCTCCACTTCCTGGAGGAGAGGAATTTCTTCAGGTGACAAGAGTGTCACTGCTAGTCCCCCCCGACCAGCACGTCCCGTTCGTCCCACCCGATGGATGTAATCCTTTGCAACTGGTGGGACATTGTAGTTCAAGACCAATTCTACCTCTGGTATATCCAAACCTGCAAGAAACAAAAGGGCAATAACATGGACACTATCAGCTTCGGCACAATCTCTAAGCCAGAAGGCATATTTAGCTGCCCAATAATTTAATCTGGAAATGAACCTAGTTCATTGAGCAAACTGAAGGTGAACTAAACAGCTGGTCCAGTGAGGCAGTGAAGGACAACTTGGCATCATGAAGCCATCCTGAAGTTGCCATTGTCAATGTTCTACTGTGTTTTTCACTTGACTTAGACACTTGTGCATGGGATGTTATTCATGCTGGTGTGTCTGACACAAGTGAAAAACACTATTAGCCCAAAATCATAAGCAGGTGTGATGAAACCTTCACCTAGAGTCATGCTGCGCCTAATGTGCTTATGAATCATGCCATGACTCACTTATTTTCACTGGCATCACAAGGGTACCAATTAGCCAGTTCAAATTCTCACCCTCATGTGGGAAAAATAGCATTTTCCTGTTCAATTCTCTGATGCCCCAGAGCGCCAATTCTGTTTCTTCCATCTGCAATCTCCAAGATTTGAACACTTCCCAGTTGGGAGGTGTCTGGGGTTACTTAGTATACTGAACCATTCAGGAAAATTGTTATGCTTAGTGCCCTGCTCACTGAATTCATCTTCAGCAGCTAGACATGTCAACTCACTAACCTAAAATAAATTCTTTCTGCTCCAACAGTAAATGATTTTTTTTTTATATCAGAGCTAAATCAAGTTATGATGCCCTCAATCATCCAGTCCTTATATTAAAAATAATTAAAAAATTTTTGGGGGTCAAAAAGTGAGCACTGTCACATTGAGGCAGTACTGCTACATTTGATCCATCATTGCTACTCAACGAAAATGAAACCCTCCAACGAATGAAACATAAGTGACCCGCCAATAAAAGCCTCTGACTCCTTCCATGTAATAGTGATATGGTAGAGCAGACTATATTACCCTCTTACGTGTATATCATCATCATTGTGCCAGTCATAAAATAATCTCCCGGTATTTTTTTTATACTGCTATCTCATGGGGAGCATGAGTGTGCAACAAATAAAAACGGCTTATTTAGTATTACAGGGCTGTACCGATGCACCGGCTACCACCTCAATTGGCCGCCGATATGTTATTACCGACACCAATTGCCATAGGGAGGTTTTTCAGTGTCGATGCTGATGCCCACATGAAAAAAAGAGGAACGCGTGCGCGTATTAAGTGGTCCAGCGCCTAACTTCCAATTCTCCTGTTAGAGTAAAGGAGCAAGTGTTTCCGACCTCCCCCAAAAACCAAAAGAATGCATTCAATTCCTATGTCTGACAGAATGCTGGGCTGATTGATGGTATCGGGCATGCAGTCAAACTTTCCCTTTTTCCCTTTCCTACCCAAGAAAACGTAGGCCTAAGGCCCTTTCAGTTCTTAATTGTTCTAGGCATAGAAAAAATGTCATACTTTTTGAGCTTCAACAAAGCTTATGCAACATAAAAGTGCTTTCAAAACGAATTCCTCAAGTAAAATTACATATTTATTTAAACTATTTAAATAAATTAATAAAATCATGTTATTTCATTAGTTGAGCTAGTACTCATATCCCTCTTTTACGTCGTATATTTCCCAGTATTTCCGAACTACTTTCCATAATCTAACTTCCAAAATCATATTTAAAAATTTGGCTGGAAAGAAATCTCTTAGTTGAAATAAATATAAATGATGACGCCATTTTTTTAAGTGTAGGAGTAACTAAACTTCGAGATGGAACACGATCGAGCGTTCGGACTAAATACATTTCTTAACCTTTTTATCGTCAGCTCCTCAACACTGGCATTTTCGATGAAATTCCTAGCGTCGATCCAATTGGCTCAGGCACTAAGAGGGTTAAGATTTACTCCTTGCTCGCCAAGATAGCTACTTCGCCTTTCTATGGAAAAAAAATTATTTTATAAGCACATGATTCAACCTTTGTCGCAGGAACTTGTCATAAGATGGTGTTCGGCATCTTGCCACGCTTATGGGAACAGAACCAGAACGAGAACACGTGCTGTATAGAAAATTATAGATCAGAAGAAGCAAACTAACAAGTGTCTCTGATGTCACAACCACTCCTACTAATTCACAATTCAAGTCAATGGCGCAACCCTAAAGTTTGGAGGGGGGGGTTTCGAGGAAAGTCTTTCAAAAGTCTCCGAATGGAAGGAGGCGTTATCAAATCATCAGAAGATATATTTCGCAATAAAAACGCGAAACGACATTGAACACGCGAACATATTGATAGAAAAGGAAACGAATAATTTTTTTTTCAAATGGTGAAAATGTATCTTAAACAGTAGATGTAACAGTAGATATCTGAAAGAAACCTAAAGATAATCGAAATTAATTTCGGAATTCTGCCAAAATTTTATTGCACTGACACGCAACTGGAAATTCCTTAACATGAACGCGATTCACGCCTTTCATCCGAGCCGTCGTTCCGTTTTCAGAAAAAAAAAATTCAGCAATGTCATATGTGCAGGACGCTTCCTTGACGTATTCACATTATAACATCGAGTAGCCACATGTGACTGGCGTGACCTCCACCTCAACCTCCCATATTTGTCCCTTTCTAGCCTTGCTCTCAGGTTATTCGCTCGTGATATCTTTCTGCGTCCCCCACCCTCGGGGGAGAGGGGGATGGTGGAGCCAAGAGATACTACTGTATGATGAGCAGGGATTTGGGGAGGTTCAGACCCCCCGAACCTCTCCCTTAATTGCGCCACTGGTTCATGTCTTCTGCAAGGTTCGCATCTTATGACCCCTCTCATTCGCTAATCGGCGAGCCGGTTCTTCTCCCCTTTTTCTTTTCCAAGAAAATGCATGCGTGCTTCCAAACAAAAAAGGTAATAAGAGGCAGTCTCATAAACCACATTTAAGCTGACGTGGACAAGTTTAAACATAAACAGTTCATAGTATTAGATAAGTTTCCCCCTCCCCCCCTGTATTTGCCACATTTAGCGACGGCATTGCCCGAAAGGTGATAACCGGTTGTCCACCAAAAACCGCTATCGGTAAACCCCCTACAGCTTTACAATGCAAAGCCAACCCACACAAAACTCCATAAAGGGCATTTTTTTGTTCTGAAAGGACTATGAGTATGGAAGGATCTGCCAATTCCTCAAAATGGTCCTCCGTACCAAAAAACCTTAGTCACCCAGCCTCAGTTTAAATGGTCATCGCCGGGCAAAATCCCATCTCATTTTACTCTAATCGAGTTGTATTGGCGTTATTGCTAGGAGACAATGAAAGGCGAAAATATGTTGATCGTTTTCAAGCCGTCACTTTCCGCGAAGCAAGATTTGCATTGCAACTGCATTCACCAGCCAGGTGATGCGTCGAAGCGATGATTTCGTCAAAGTTAATCGGAATAAGTCTATCACAGGTTGTGCATCTTGCCTTCAAGCCGTCATCCAGGCTGGTGGTGGGCGCACACAATATTGAGTTACGTTGTCAAAGTAGAATCGAATACTTTATTCAGAAATGCTTAACCATCGCAAACTTCTGCTTCTCTAGGGGGCTACGGTTTTGTGGATATGGCAAACGGAAAATCTTGAGTTCATTCCATATTATACAGCATTACAACGATAGTTACAGGGCAGGATGAAAAGATATTCGAATATGATTGAAGGTAATTTGTAAAAGGAAGGAAATAGCACTAACACGGGATCTGTAGAGAAGCAAATTTACTGAAAGTGATATACAAAGATACGATCATCTGTCCGTCATCACACGTTGAACTATAGCGACCATTCTGAAAAGGAGCAGATTCAGCACAGTACTCGCTCAGAGTGGTGGCATGAGTCATGGTCCACTTATGAAGGCAGTGTATCTATGACTGCTGAATATTCACTGCTGGTGAATGTTCTATGCTACCCCAAACTCTGTTTCACGTTTTACCAAGATAAAACAAAGTTCAGGACCTATCACTTTCTTCCAACAAATAAGCTTAAATGCTCACAGATTCACAAAATGAGACATGGTTGAGTTTCCTTAACTAATCAATGTTTTCATGAAGGCATGTCTTTTCCCATTTTTTCAATAACCTTGCACAATATACACTAAATAATTACTAGGTTCATCTTGCCCCACCCTCCCCTTCATATGGCAGATAAGTAACTGATACATCAGCCAGGATTCTAGGTATCCCAGCTGAGAATAAGAAAATTATTAGAAAAGAAAATACCAGTTGGATAACCCATAAATCTACCATACTCTGTCTACCTCTGAAAAGGAAATTACCTTAAAATGCAGGGCAGGGCAAGTTTGGTAAAATGTGTTACCAGCCAATATCAGGATATATTGGTTGATGATAACAGATAGCAGATTGTCCAAAAAAGGTATGAAAAAGCAATTTACTGATAATATTTAGTCATCATGAATCAATATACATATTCTTAGAACCAAAAAAATATCTATGCAATTTAAACATGCCCTTCCATCATTACTCATCCTGAATATAAAATTCAAACAAAATTTTGAACTGCTAAAAGGAATCATTGAATAGCAGGCTCAATAAATGCTCACTGTCACTGCTTAACCCTCACCTCTGCTGGCAACATCTGTAGCAACCAGAATTTGGACACGTGTGGACTTGAACATAGCAATTGAAGTCAATCTCTCACGTTGCTTTATCCTGGAATTCAATGATCTGCATGAGAAGCCGAGGGAGTGCAGGAGAAGGTATAGGATCTGGCAAGATCTGGAACAGAGAATACATGGCGGTTAATTACACTCCAAATACCACCTAAAAATTACTCTCTTGCTCTCAAGAATGATACAGATAGAGGACCCACTTGCATGTACCAGTGAACACAATAATGGAACCAGTAGGATTCTTCTCTCGAAACTCCTTAATGATGTATACAAGGTATCCATCTTTTACATGAGATGGACAGAGAATGTATTTCTGGTTCAGGGTCTCTACTGTCTTCACTGCTTGAATATCTTCCCAGAAGAAAGGCTCTTTAGTTGCAACTGTTCTCAGATTCTGAAGGGTGTCTGTCAAAGTTGCACTGAACAGCAATGTCTGACGAGATTTTGGCAGAACTTGGAATATCTTCTCCAACTGCAAATAGCATCAAGTGGCTTTACTTATACCTGCAAAAGATTATATTCTTCAGAAGATCAAAAATACTTAAGGCATTACAACATTAAGGGATATGCCATTCCTTCCATGGCAAATAGTTGGAATTTTGACTTTTCTTGTTTTGCTGTTTGAAAATGAAAACCACTGAATACAGGCAACCACAATGGGTTCTTTGGCAGAGAAATATTGCAGTGATCCCTCTTAACACTACAGTAACACTACACTTAACACTACGTGGCCATTTTCCATAATCCCATTGGCCAGGAAGACAAGAAGTTTTGATATCAGTTCATCACTTATCCAGGACTTCCTGGCACTTCTAATCTTGGTTTGCTGAAAGTTTTAGTTAGACCTATTTCCACTTGCTACTCAACATTGCAATCAGTAATAAGGTCAGTGTATTTGTAGCACTAAACAGGGGAAAGCTGAAAAAAATTGTTCTAGACGTAAGAAAGTCTCTTGAATAAAACTTAGCTTAAACAGTACTAGAATTTACAAATAAGTTTTGACTTCAAGACTGGAACAATCTATTCTGTAAACCTTACTTGCAAGAAGCCAATAATCTGAATGAAGGTTTTTACCTGCTCATCATACTGGCCATCAAAAAGCCGATCTGCTTCATCCAGCACAAGGAACTTAATTTTGGTGAGAGAAAAAGTATCACAGCTACTGATATGATCAGCAAGTCTGCCAGGTGTTGCAATGACAATATGTGGATTCCTGGAAAGGGCAAGACCCTGTTCAACCATGTCTCTTCCTCCAACTATAATAGCATCCTTCAGTCCAACTGGCTTCCCATATACTCGAAACTGGTCAGCAATCTGATAAGAAAATATATCCCATCATTAGTACATTTCAACCGAAGGGAACTTTAATTTCATCTGATTGAACTCCTACCTGATAGGCAAGTTCTCGTGTTGGTGTGAGGACAAGAGCAAAGATGCCATAAGGATCATTGGAGAGATTCTGTAAGATGGGAAGAGCAAAAGCCAATGTTTTCCCTGATCCAGTCTTGGCACACCCAATGCAATCTTTGCCCTCCAGGATGGGAGGTATGCAGTTGGCCTGAACAGGTGTTGGCCTCTTGATGCCTGTTACATTTATGAAACTCCATAGTTATACCCTTTACATAATACTTTTTTTTAAATCAATATGCAAAAAGGCAAGATTAAAGGTTTCTCACCATTATATATTTCAAAGAGACCAAGGTCAGAGCAACAAGACTGACATTCAGTACATAACAGATTTATTTTTGCATCTCAACACAAGCAGAATCTCCTGCATCTAGCACTTTGGTTACAAGTAGCCCTAGGCATAATTTCAACATGCAATCTCTTTACAAGAGGATAAGCACAGAGTCAAGAGATATACAAAAACATGATTAAATACAGTTTAAGGCCATGCCAAGAAAATTTCACTTTTTCTACTTAGGCACACAAGTCTGATTTTTGGCAAATAACCCCTTGAGCACAAATCAAAACTTGAGTCCCATAGCTGCTCGCTCAATGGCTTTCTTGCGCACGGTATCCAAGTTTCTCTCTCTCCAGGTGCTCTTCCTAAGTTTGATTGGTCGACTTCCAACATATTTTCCATTCATCTCGCGCATGGCTCGAACATAGTCTTTGGGGTCCTTGAAACTCACAAACCCAAAGCCCTTGGTCTTACCAGTCCTCTTGTCTTTCACAACTTTAGCTTTAACAAATGAGGAATACTTGTTGAAAGCCCTGGTTAAAACATCATCATTCACATCATTGCCCAAATCACCACAAAACAAGCGGAAGTCATCTGGGTCCCACTCCAACAAGGAAGAATCTTCCCACACTTCCCCACCAGCCACTCTGATAATTTTCTTGGGTTTCTTCTCCCTCTTTCCTTGCTTTGGGATTTGATGTATTTTAGTCACAATAGTAGTAGCATTGACTTTATTTGCCATCTCTTTCGCCTTGGAGAAAGCATCAGCAGAACTCATTGGCTTGTTTTCCTCCTGCTTCTCCAGTCTTGTTTGCAGAGTCTTTGCTGGGACTTGACTCCTGACTGCAGGAGTTATCCTAGTAACAAAAGCCTTGGTTGCAATAGAACTCATACTTGCAGAGGAATCAGAAGAAAATGGCATCTTTTCCTTCTCCTTTTTATACTTTTGAGGAGGTGCAACAATGACAATTGGAGTGCCAGTAATTCTTGACATGTTAGGATCTACAGCAGTGGTGATCATCCCTGCTGGCTGTTGTGTAGGATCTGCACCTGGAAGTGCAGAAGCAGATGCTGCATAAGCATTATGAGTGAGGTTAGCTGAAGGTGGAGGAGGGGGAGGTGTGAAGGACATTCCCTCTGGGGCCATGGGGCGAATACCAGGGGGTGGGGGTGGAAGTCGACCAGTCAAAGACATTCGACCAGCATGTGGTAATACAGCAGATGGATATCGCTGCTGCAGTTGATGGGGAATGAAGGCAGGCGGAGGAGGCGGTCTAAAGCCTGGTATCTGTCTCTCCAATTGAGCCTGGGTCTGCTGGTATGTGCTGGCAGATAGTGGTAGTCTTGGACCAGCAATCTCTGCTTCAAAGCGATCCATTTCATCTTCCATGGAGAACTGTGCTCCTGGGCCTGCCATCTTTAATGTCTCAAGTCTCTACTGTTAAGAACACAGCAGGAAAAAGCAGTACATCAAGAGCTGACACAGGTCATTGGAATCACTCTCATCCAAATATTAAGATCATGACATCTGAAAAAAGATATTATAACAAAATATGATCAGATTTTATCCTCACCTAGAGCCTGGCACTGTTTTGCTATCCATGAATATAGTCCAAGATCACTGAATGATGCCATGAATAGTGCAATATCAGAACACTCAAATTTGCACACATGGAAAACACGTGGCTGCTGTTCATGTCATTTGAGCCTGTAACATGGAAGGTTGTTCATATTACTTTTAAGGCCCATAACCACTGCAAGTATAATATTGCCCCATATTCACAGTTCAGTCAATGATAGGGGCTAGACTGAATCCAAAATAATTATGGTTAGCCCTATCTGCAGGTCAAAATGAAGAAGCCTGCTATTTTAGAAAGAAATAATGAAATGGAGACCACCCAAAGGAAGCCTGTCATGAATCACAAGTGTCATGGGAAAAAAGTCACAGATGAGTGCATTGGTTTTTCCATTTCATAATCCTGCTGAATGTCTCCTTGCAACTACATTATACTGCCAAGAGTTTAGGCCTACCCATGCAAATCATGGCTGAAACAGTGCAGTCACTATGAACCACACAATTGCCTGCCAACAGTTATGTTTGTATTCTAGAATATCATTTACTACCATGTTGACAGCACAACATGAATGCAAGTTTAATAGGGCAAGATGGTTGGATGGCAGTCATGTGAAAGTCTGGCTGAGGTACTGACACTTTGGAACCCGACCCCAAGTATGGTGCATCAAGTCATAGCACTATTGAAGACTCATGAACATGCCAGAGGTGCCACAACACCATATTGAAAGGTGAGGAAATGGAAATATAATGCATGTTCAAGAGTTAAACCTTGGCTTTTGCCTTTTAGAACTTTTGTCTTCCTAACCTCACAATCGAGAGATCAAGATATTCCTTTCAATGTTTGCCAAAAGAGGCAAAAAGCCACTCCTAAAAAAAAATGTGAGCCAGATGGGTTGAAAGTATTAACCATGATCAACATCTGACAAGTCATTTCTCATTTACCTGAATATGCAAGTTTCAAATCTCATTAGCTTTAGATAGATGAAAAGCAGGAAATGGGGAAAAAATCAACCCCAGAGGAGATAGAACCCAAACACTCCCACAATGTAACAACCAATGCACTCTTAATTACTTTCTTCAAGTTAAAATGTCTGCAAAAAGTGACCATACATCAAAAGGTCAGTAACAGCATGTTCTATCTAGTCCTAAAAAAAAAGTACTCCCAGGCTCTAAATTATTTCACCCCTGTTCCTCTCATGGAGGCTCAATGATCATGGAACATGCCAAGTAATGCAGAAGATTAATTCACAAGGGTAGCTGTAGCTAGCTACACAGATACAAAATGAGATGGGATTTTGTATTCAAGTCAAAGTGCAATAGTACTCCACACTGTCATGTCATTCAAGTCAAGTTGCAATAACTAAGATCTTGGCACATCACATCTGAGATAGCAGCTTCATCCATTTTTAGCTCATAAAGATTTATTATGCCAAGATATAACCCTTGAACAAAGGTAATTCCAAATAAGCAGTGAAACATGGTCACCTTTAAGGCAGTCCATTAAGACCCTTGAAAACACTAGATGAAATAATTGGACAACAAAATTGTTCAAGGGTCATAGCTTTCTCGTCAGCTATTGTACGTTTTGTGAACACCATGTACACCCTGTGCACACCCATCCTTTAAGCCCAGTCTTCGCCTTGTGACTACAGCCATGTACTAAGTATAAAGCATGGGTGGAGGAGGCCTAGAATATATATTTTCCAGCCTTGATTAAGCCATCTTATCCATTTTCTATTAAATGCGCCATATTGAAGCGCCTCCCCAGCGCTCTCTAACAGTTTCCGTGTGAGGCTATCTGCCTGGAATTTTTATTTCTACTGGAGCTGAACGCCAACTTCTAATTCTCATATACAGTCTAACTCTCGTTAATTCGGACTCAAGGGGACTAGTGATTTTTCCAGATTATCGAGTCCCTGCCAGAGTGACCATTCATTTTTCTTCTTTTTATGCAAGAAGAAAACCACACAAAATGAAGGCGCCTCATTACTCGGTTCCAGGAAATTGGGGAGATCAAATGTTTATTTATTTATTTATTCATTTTAAATCCAAGGGTGAGGGAAAGTAAAGAAAAGGGGAAAAGACAGGGAAATCTTTTATTTTCTATTGTATTATATGTATTTTGCTGGAAAGTCTGGATTAACGGAAGATCCGGATTACTGGCGTTAGGATTAACGAGAGTTGACTGTATTGCACATATAGCAATAGTAGCAACACACGGCAGCAGTACCCTCAGTGACATCACCACTACGACCACTATCAATGTATCATCCATTCCATTGACTGACATTGCATATAAAAATTATAGCATACATTTCCGCATACGTCATTTACGTCGCACGACGACCCTGTAGTAGGGTAATGGGCAGGAACGGGAAGGTGTTCACGTTGGGTGTACAGGGGTATACAAGATAGGTGTTCATGGACCTATGAGAGGTGGTCACATAGCCCTGTATAAGGTGTACACATAGGCTTATAGTAGGTGTTCACATAACGAACTTGGGGTGTACATGGTGTTCACAAGACGTACAATAGCCGTAGGTTGTTGTATGCTTATGTACAACACCCACAACTGATTAACATCACCTCTAGCAGTGTGCATGATTGGTGTGCACAAGACAAAGGAATATCCTAACTAATGTGTTCCCCTTACCATCTTTTTACTCAGTACATAGAAGTTTTCATTACACATTTACAGGCCCCCTACCTCTTCCCCAGTTATTGATTAGGCATGCACTGAAAACATTACAAGCATGTTTTGCTAACTTCTTTCTTATCCAAATCACATTCAACCCTTGTTACTACCACTTTGCATAGCATCACCTTTCATATCACGAATCTCTTTTGGTGAATATATCTAACCATAAGCTTACTTTAGGGAATAAGGTTAATATAACATCATGCTGAAATTGGAAATGCCCAGCAATTCATTATATTAAGAGTTGACTGTTTCCAACCTGACTTAGTATACATTAATGTATTGTTCATACCCAATGTCTAATCAGAGGAAAGGAAGAGCTAGAGAAGATGTCTGCAATAGAAATTACTGACACATTTTACATGAATTTAGGTTTAAGTGACCTGATGCATAATCTGTGTGGTATCCAAATCTTAGGTTCACATGAGTGTATCCATTTAAATATGGGGTTGGAATAGCTAATCAAATGAAAGAAAGTCTCAGGTCATAGGGAACAGCTACTGATAAATGACCAAAGGCAAAGGAAAATGACAGCTGGCATCCCATTTTCATGAACTGAGAAGTCTGAAGTTCAGTATCTTAGCATAGTATAGTAGCCTACGATAGGATAAAGTTGATTATCAGTTATCCTCAAGGAAACAGCAATGGATACAATTTCATGCTTGTGTGACAAATGGGCGAACCATCATGTGAAAGTTTAAGCCAATTAAGCCATTAAGCCAATTTTGGTGTAACATTTTGATCACAAACTAATCTAGGCTTAAACTTGGCCATGTTAATCTCTTACTTTTTTACCTTTCTCATATCATGATCCTATGATCTTCCAGTTGGTATGGCCAAGAGAGGGACTATCATGTCCTGGTGATGGATCTCCTTGGGCCTTCCTTGGAGGACTTGTTCAATTTCTGTGCCCGGCGGTTCACAATGAAGACCGTGCTGATGCTAGCTGACCAAATGATAGGTCGCATTGAATATGTCCACAGCAAGAACTTCATCCACAGGGACATCAAGCCTGACAACTTCCTCATGGGCATTGGCAGACATTGTAACAAGGTATTTCTTGCTTTTGCTATGATGACCTTTTTGTGGAACCACTGGGTTTATACCAGCAGTGTTTAAACCTCACAGATATGGCTCCTATAAGCCTTTTCCTGAAGAATAAAATTATATTAAGGCATTTAATTATAAAAATAAAGGAATGGGATCAATATCATCATGCTCCCATTCTCTCTCAATTGTAATCAAATGCCTGTAACCATACAATCCCCTTCCTGCTGAAGTCACTGAAGTCACTGCTGATATACTTACTTCAATTTCATAAGGATACTTTAAATTCATGAGGTTTAAGTTCTGAATCATGGCACACAATAGTTAACAAATTTCAGTTGATGCAAGTGAATGAGTAACTCTTGCACAGCTTTATGGCGGTGAAATGGAAATGATTTACCAATGGGCATAGATTTCCAGGCAAAAGTATTTACCTCCATCCAAGTTCTCCCTAATTTGGTTTGTTTCTCCTGTGCTCATAATTGCTTCTCAATTCCAAATTCATTAACATTTTTTTATCTCAGAAGATGGTGTCATGATCTGGCTTATTGACACATGTTAGCTCCCACAGTTCTTCAGGGTGTCCAAATCATTTGACCCCATCATTTTTGGCCGTGAAAAAAATGGCAGAACATTGATTATGATATATATTATGTACTCAACCTTACAAGGAAATGATCACTATTTTAGCATTTAGTATGTTTTCCACCCACATTCGTTAAAGTCTGAATTGATTGATGTGCAGAAAGTTAACTTCATTCTTGACAATCCACCTTGCTGTGTGCAAGTTGCACACCTGCAACTCAGAAGCTTAGTTGCCCAATAGTTTTGACATTTTATAGCATGATCAGCCAGCTCCACAGATCTGAATACAGCTGAACACATCAGTTCCATCATGAAAGATTGTGTCAAGGAGTGGCTAGTAACAGAACAATATATATGCTTGTTGTGTAAGGTCACCCCAAGTTCTGGAAGAAATTGAGAATGACAATAAATGTTTCAGGCACTCTTCACATCCCACCCTTATAGTGTTCAGGCTGTTTAACGGGGTTGGAAATATGTCGGATGCTGGCAAGTAATCATTTCCCTTTTTAACCTCTTAAGTGCTGAGTTTTGACCTGACCACCTAAGTGGTGATTGTATAGTGTATGTGAAAACTGCCTGGAAGGTTAATAAGGAGTAAATATTAGGTTGTTCAGAAAGTAATATAGTTTTTATCGCATCATTTTTCAAATGCAGCTTTTTATTCATAATTTCAACAGTGTGATTTCTATCACTTGCAACAACTGTTTCCCATTTAGCATTTTTTATTCCTCTTTCATAAAAATTGGCCTGTTTTGAGGCAAAGTACGTGGTGAGATCAGATTCGAGCCTCCTCGTTATTGTACTTTTCCCAATTTAAATGGTTTTGAAGTGACCAAAACGAGTGAAAGTCAGAAAGCACAAGGTCCAGTTAATAAGGTGAATATGACAGAACTTCCCATTGAAGCATTATTTTTTCTTTGACAATTTTTGAGACATGAGGTTGAGCATGGTTGTGCAGGAGGATGACACCTTTTCGATTGACCAAAGTAGGCTACTTTTGAAGCAGGGCTTGTTGCAGGTGATCCAGTTATTGAACATAGAGACAAGTTGTTATCAGTTGATGATGGGAGCAGCTGAATGTGGATAATGCGCTTCACATCCCACCAAACATACAATAAGATCTACTTAGGGTGTAGACCGGCTTTTGGAGTTGGTTCTTGCATTTGATCCATTCTTGGATAGAATTTTTACTGGAGATGAGAAGTGGGTTCTCTACATCAATAATAAATGCCAAAGACATTGGATGGATCATGAAAGATGGGAAACAGTTGTTACAAGTGATAGAAATTACATTGTTGATTAGACTGTTGAAATTATGAATAAAAAGTTGTATTTGAATGTGATAAAAGCAACATTACTTTCTGAACAACCCAATATTATGCATAAAAGCATAAGTTTTTTATTCTGCTTGCACTATTTGACTCAAATCATAATTATTACTCAGTACTGGCAGAACAGACAGTTTGGTATCAGCTACTGATATGATGTCACAGCAATAATCAGTGCGAACAAAATTGACTGATGTCTGTGAGGTAACACAAAAATATCCTCATGTCAATTCAGTTGTTTCTCATCTGCCCATGGGAAGAAGAGAAAAGAAGGTTAGAACTAAGGAATTTCATTTCACCTTTTAACAATGCAATTTTGTAATTCTTTGCATAATTTTTGTAGCTGTTCCTCATCGACTTTGGTCTTGCAAAGAAGTATCGGGACAGTCGAACTCGGTGTCATATCCCATATCGTGAAGACAAGAATCTGACTGGTACAGCTCGGTATGCATCCATCAATGCTCACTTGGGAATTGAGCAAAGGTATGTCCATCCCTTAGTCCTCATGAGACTAGCTATTAAACTTAATGGTCAAGGAACTGTATTTGTGGCTTGTGTTTTTCTCTCATTCAGCCGAAGGGATGATATGGAATCTCTGGGCTATGTTCTCATGTACTTCAACAGAGGAAGTTTACCATGGCAAGGCCTCAAGGTTTGTCCATTGCATTTCTTTCATGACTTCACACAAATGGATAGCCCTGATTCATTGGGGAATCCCATGACTGAATATGATCACTCTATATTTTAAACCATAATTAACTCTTAGGGAAGTTTGTCCTCATTAATTATATTTGGGTTTTAAGTATTATTCAAAATATGGATGCATTTAAGCATAAAATATAGTTTTCAATAAGTGTGTAGACCAGGCTAGGAAAACCCTTGCAAACCTGCGAACATGGTTCGCAGGAATGGAGACATGCGGGCGGGCAGCTCGCTTAGTCCGCTTGCATATTCTTCCCAGGAAGTTCCAATTCATCACCTCAGGTTCGCAGGAAAAAAAAGTTTTTTCCTACACTGGTGTAGACATATGAAGGAAAGCAGATGAACTGCTAGCAAGGAATTCAAAGAGACCCCTCAAAGTTGTGTAGCCAACACTTAACCCCTTGGCATCATATTTTTTTCATTGAATTTTTGTCATTTTTCAATCATCAATACTTTAACCAGTGCTAATTTGAAACAGTGCTGTTATGCAACCATACAGGGGTAACTTAAACCTTGCCTCTCAGTTCAAACCAAACTCAAGTTCTCTATCACAATTATAAAAATTGTTGCATGTAGGATTGAAGAAAACAGCCATGATGGTGTATGCTGTTGAATGATGGCAAGGGGTTAAAAGAGAATGCTCTTAGTGAGGAAATGTTTGGAGAGCTTAAAGAGAACATAGCAAATATAAGTAAAATGAGAGTAATTCCCTTATATATAGATGCCCACATTTTAAGATGCCATTCCTGACATTTCTGAGGCCTGATGTTGATGGAGATTCCACCTGTAATTTGAAGGAATGTCAAATGTACTATGTTCATTTCGACTCATTCTCTATTTCTTGAGTTTCTTATATTATTCTTTCTTTAAGGATAAGGTACACTCAGGTGAGTACACTAAGACAACCTATGTCATGCTATTCAAGTTGATACAATTATTTTGTCAGGCCTGGAAATTGTGACTGTCATGGCAGTGACAGAAATTCCAAGATTTTTTTCCCTTTCATTTGACATATACAGTGATATTTGCCTCAGGCATCTAATCATGATTCTAACTGAAGTGGTCATCTAGCGTCTGATCTGCTTGTGCAGGTTTTGTTTCTAGAGGTGTTGACTACACAAACACCATTTATCATGTAATAAATTTAAGGCAGTGCTTGCTGTGACTTGGCTTAGTCAATGTTCTGAACTTTTGATGTCAAAATAGGATGGTAGTGGTCATGTCAAACTGTTGATAGGCTCATGAAGGTTTCACATACATTATCCTTGGGGAGAATATAATTTGTTTTGAGAAAAACTTATCCTTGAAGCAGGCCTTCAGTTGTATAAAGTAATTGCTGACAATTTTCACTGTTTGTGGCAAGTGACAGTTATAAATCCTGCTAGCATGGGCTTCAAAACTGAACATTTTCAATGCATTAAACATATATGAAGGGAATGGGGAAAAAATCATGAATGGGAGTAGAAATTGACATGATGGTCCTTGCTAGGAATCTGTGTGTGGTGCAATTGCATTCATAATTTGAATCATATTCCCAGCCATACCAAGCATAATGGTATTGATTTTCAACCACAAGTGGCCATCCAGATACAATCAATGCTTGATATAACGAATTTTTCTCATAATACATTTTTTAGCGTGTCCCTTTAAGTTCATTATATTGAGTGTCGACTGTAGCTAGCTGCAGTCCAAGTGCAAAATTTGTGGGGTAGACAGATGCTTTCACTCTGCAGAAACATGTATGGTCATAGGGTCACAGTGGAGCATTTTTCAAATTTCGCATCTGGTGCATCTGAAAATCATAACTGTATATCATCATTGGGGAATGATTGCCCAAAAGAAACAAGGTGGCTTAGCCTGGGCTTAGTTTGGTAAATGTCTGGGATAAAGTTATTTAAAGTTACTGTATAGGATTCTGTATCTCATGTTTGCAGGCAGCAACAAAGAAGCAGAAGTATGAGAAAATCAGTGAGAAGAAGATGTCCACTTCTGTAGAAGTCATATGCAAGGTGAGGCAAAGTACCTTCTCTCTGAAGTCCTTGTTTTATCATTTAACTTCCTGTTTGCAGTCAATCAGGCTGTGATGCAAATGTCTTGAGAACACTGAAGGTAGATATTGATCAAAATGATCATTCTAGAATTTCAATCAGTAATGAATTGAAAGCATTTAGTACATTGCTTGCAATTACTATTGGGCTGTTTTTAGAAGTCTTGTATCTTGGAAGAGATCTTTGACTTAGGAGGATGGTATTATGTATTATATACAAGGGCTAGTTATGGCCTTCTGTTTTTGAATTGGAATCTATTTTTTCCACACAGCAGTTGTGTCATCCATTATTTTCAAACAGCATGTTTGTCCAAGGGCAGAAAATATAGAATTCCACTCTCTCAAGATCAGGGACCCATGCATTGTCACATCAAGAATAGAGACATCAGGTGTACTCACTATTCCTTTTTTGTTTTAATTTTACGTTTATACAAAAAATGCTGTAGACTCCTTCATTGCTATGCATTAGTATAGTATGGTTATGCAGGGTGGGCTATAGTGATTCATACCACAAGTTTTCTATTTCTGCATGCACAAGAAGGGCAAAAAAAAGTGCTACTATAAGTTGGCATATCTTTTGTCATGGTTTCCTGTCATAAATTTTTTTGCTGAAATAATCCAGGCCAATCAGAAGATGGTGTCCTAATACCAGTATGCTTGTAAGAAGAAAGCATTTTGTACATTTTTATATGCAAGAAAATGAAATTTCCCCTCATAATAGCTGGGGTAACTAAATTGGAAGTGATATACCATGAGGTGGCACTCACCATGTCTGAGAATCATGGTGTGGCACAAGGTGACACAAATGATGAAGAGCCTCCTCTGGGATGAATCATTGAATGCTGATTTCAATTATTTGTTGTATATACTTGCAGGGCTTTCCAGCAGAGTTTGCTATGTATTTGAACTACTGCCGTGGCCTGCGATTTGACGAGGCCCCAGACTACATGTACCTCCGACAGCTGTTTCGAATCCTGTTCCGAACCTTGAACCATCAATATGATTACACGTTCGACTGGACCATGCTGAAGCAGAAGGCAGCTGCTAGTGCAGCAGCTGGTTCCACGCAGCAAGTCCCAACAGGTTAGTAAGATGGAGTCCACTTATGTTATTAATATTCACTAGGGAGTTCTACCAAAGTTAAGAAGTTAACTCTTTGGGAATGGGGGGGTATTTAAAAACTAGACTGTATCTCTGAGCCTGTGTTTTTTAGTACTGCATATGTACACCTTTATTGAGTGCTCTTTCATGTATCTCACTGTAAGTACCAGTGCTTCCCATTGCCATTGTGGAAGGCACGGAGAAAGTTCAGATTATGTAGGCTCATTTTCATGCCCTGTAGTCTATTTTCCTTCTCCCTTTCTCTCACCAACATCTATGCAATTTCAAATGCACAATGCTATACTCAAATTTGAAAGAAAAGTCATGCTTTTTCGCACAGACCAAAAGGCTTGTGCTGTATGTGCTTCGTGTCTTTTCCCTATCTCTCATCTTATTGGAGGGTAATTAGTTTCTTTTAAGTGAAATTCTCCTGCAGAAAGCTTGTGTCATGGAAAGTTTCACATCAAGCTCTAAGATGGTAGATCCTGCACCATGTTAGAAGAAAAAAACAGTGCTGAAGAAGTAGAAGAAAGGACAAACCCTTCCATCTTCTCCTAATCACCCTATTGAAAATGATGTTGCAGAAATGATCAAATATTGTATATTGAATCAATGGAAGCAAAGAGATCTTCTCCAATGATTTAGAATTTACCATGGTTGCAGCATGAAAATTTGAGAAATGGATGAGGAAAGATACACTGGAAAAACTTGGGAAGAAGCTCACTTTTTTTTTACTGGGATATTTGGTATAGGTATTTGTATGTGTACAAGGTTTCCCAAAAATAACATTAAACTGAATCTCATCTGCACTGCCAACAAGAATCTGATATTCCTGCCCTTCCTGAAATGATTGACATGGAGACTGTGTTTGCAGCAACATGGGGCTCCTCCTCTCTTTCACCATACTGTAAGAGTATGGTAAGTTCCTACCATGATGAGGTGTTCCCAGGGCACAGGATTGGCAGGTGGGGATCTGTTGAGTGGCCCCCAGTGTCCCTGGACTTGACACCTATGGATTTTGTTTTTTTGGGGAGGGGGGGGGGGAATACATCAGAGACCAGGTTTACAGAGTCAAACTGGTTGATGTTCCTGACCTCCCAGAAAAAATTGTTTCTGCATTTTGTGATATCTCAAAAGACATGCCTGTTTGCAAATCTGACTAACAGATAGTAAATGTGTATCAATTTGGAAAGACATTATGAGAATATGAAGAACTGACAAGGGTTTCATGAAAACATGATACTAGCATAACAAGTGTTGTTATGCTGAACTGAAATAGGTTATGAATAACAAATGTTATATATATTCGTAGTGCATGAGTAAATATTATAGTACAGTTTACTAGGTATTTTTTGGACACCCTGTACATTTCTATCCATGTAAGCTGGTTAACATATCCTCATGTCCATGAATCATGGCATTTCTGCCTCCCTTGGAAATTCATGAGTGGATAGTTTCTTGCAATTCTATCATCCTGGGCCATGATTGCCATGCACTACATTAACCCTTTTAGCAATATCCCAAGTATGTACTTGTCATGTGGCAGCCCACTCCCCTGCCTAATCCTGGTGGGCAGCCGCATGGCGAGTGCATACTTGGGGCACTGCTGAAAGTGTTGAGGCTTATTTGCGAGTGCTATTTTTGATGTACAACTGAGATTCTCTTTATGATTCACTCTTTCCAGGAAAACTGGGTCTTACCCATTTGCATGAACAAAAGATGATATAAAAAGAGCCTGATATTTTGCATCTCAATACCTTCCAGATATTGATACCAAGCTGATTTTATATATTTGTGTGAAAGAGCCCCTTAAACCACCGAAAGACTTAAAGGGGAACAAAAGAATTATGGGATTAAAAATTATCATCCAGATTTTGTTTGGAGATGCTTTGATGAGTATTTTTGCTGGATGTGATTGTTGTGGGAGACAATATTGCATTACTTTTGTTTTCTCTCCCTACTGCAGCTGGTCACTAAGGCCCATCCATGAGCAACCTCTGCCATTCGTCTGGACAGTTTCACTCTCCCAACTGGAGAAAAAGTGATTACGTCATGGGATTGTAGTGCTCCTGTGTGTGGAAAAATTGCAGTTGGACAAAAACAGGAAAAATACCAGTAGGGAGTGCAGCAACAAATGCTCCTGTGAACGATCTGACACAGTTGTGCCATGGCTGTGTTGTATTTCAGATGGATATGCAAGGCTTTTTTTTTTCCTTAGCAGGGATCCTGGCTACTTTAGGCTTGTGGCCTCATTCTTGAAAATTTGAGCTGGTTTTGAGTTCTTTTTCAATCTATCCCATCTTCATTTGGGTTCAAGAGACTGTAGTCTGGGAAATCACACTTCTTAGGTCATTCTAATGGTCATTTTAAAGTTCAAAAAAAGTGATAGGCATGGGGTTTTGTGTGCTTCATGCTGTATTAAACAGTACTAGAGGAAACATTCACAAGCCCTTTTCTCTCATCTTTCTTTCAGTCTTGTCATCTTTTGCTCCTTCCATGACTTTTGTTCTTGGCCTTTGGTACACTGGGATATTTCATGTAAGAGAATGGCAAATATGAAAAAGGGGAAAAGAAACCATTTGTACATTGATATTCCCAAGTCTTTTTGTCTCTGTAAAATTCTCGCCTGGACTGTACTGTGGAATTGAATACAGCTGTCGAGGATTGTCCAATCTGAAAGGGAGAAAAACCCTAATGTACTGAACTGTCTCCAGAATAAAATTGATGGAATTTTGTCCTTTTTATCCTTGTTATGATCTGTAACTTGATGTGTCTTTTATAACACTGTAATAACAGTCCCTCAAAAAAAAAGTTGACACTTGAGAGACTTTGTGATACTTCATTGTGGATGTGGGTATTGTCGCCGTTCAATGTTAGAAGTGTTCAGTCAAGCTATCTGGCCCTTCAACACTGTGAATCTCTGACAAGTCTGGTTCACTCAAACCCTGCTGATAAATTGAACCCTTGCCTGCAGCATCATCTTGCATCTCGTGTTTAACTTTCAATTTATAATTGCTAATGGGAGTCTAGTTTTTGTTTCCTATTTTAGATTCAATTACAAAGGTCAGCTCATGCAATGGTCAAATACAACAATATCCAGTAGGAAAAAGTTATGTGACAGTTAATGTCACTGCCCAAAAAGCAAGCTTTCTATTCATTCTATTGGGTCGATCGGAAAGTTCTGGCCGTTTCGAGAACATTCTATACAACCGAATTTTTAAAAAAAAGCAAAAAAATTTTCATTCAACGAAGTAATCGCCATCACAGTCAATCATCTTCTGCCAACGATCAGGCAGACTCCTGATTCCTTCCCTGTAGAACTGAGCTAGCTGTGAGTCGAAAAAATCAGTCAGCCAGTTTTCGACCTCGGCGTCATCGTTGAACCTTTTCTAACGAAGACGGTTGTCCAGAGCGCGGAAGAGATGGTAGTCAGTTGGCGCCAGATTCGTGCTATACGGAGGGTGAGGCAGAACCTCCCAGCCCAGATCCAGCAGTTTCTGCCGTGTGATCTTCGCGACATGCGCCCTTGCGCTGTCGTGCAGGATTCGAACGCGACGGTGCCCTGGCCTCACCGTGCGGAGTTTGTCGGCGAGCTTCTGCAGCCGATCGCAGTAGTAGGCGGCGGTGATGCTGGTATCGGGTGGGAGCAGCTCGAAGTAGATCACGCCTTGCACGTCCCACCAAATGCATGACATGACTTTCCGGGAGTGCAGGTCACGTTTCGGCTCCGGCTCTGGCTGGGCATCGGCAACGACCCACTGGCGCCTGCGTCGGTAGTTGACGTACGGCATCCACTTTTCGTCTCCAGTGACTACGGAATCCAGCTAGTCGTTTGTGCGCTCGTACGACAGCAGCGAAGTGCACACCTCAGCACGGCATTCGCGGTCGCGGTCGGTCAGATCGTGGGGTACCCACTGACCCGACTTGCTCTTCTTGCCGATTGCAGCCAAGTGCGTCACGATCGTGGACTGGGCGCAGCCAAGTGCTGTCGCTAAGTCGCGGGTACTTTGCCTCGGATCGGCTTCCACTGTGTGCTGCAACTGCTCGTCGTCGATTTCAGATGGGTGGCCTGACCTGGGCTCATCCTCGAGGCTGCCATTTCCAGACCGGAAACGATCGAACCATCGTTGTGCTGTCTTTTCATAAACTGCACCTTGGCCAAACGCGGCGCAGATGCGGCGACTCGATTCAGCTGCTGTGATGCCAGATAGGAAGTCGTAAAGAAGGCACTGACGTTGGGCGGTCGTGTTAAAGTCAATTTTGGAAGTCGTGATTATAGGCTTTGAACAACTAAGCAACTGCTGCATAATCACGCCCACACACCCTTATATACTGCTACTGTAGAAGGTTCGAGAAAGTTCCAGAAATTTTTTTTTCCTGGAAAATTCTCGAAACGGCCGGAACTTTAAGATCGACCCAATAATATTGGGTAGAACTTTTCAGTTCTATTTTCTGCCAACATCGAGTCACCTCAATCTATTTCTAAGTATAAATCAGTTAGCTGCTCTGTCAGACAGTAGATGATCATGCTTGCATTTGAGAACTTCTTTCTAAGCTCCCAGCATGCACTGGTTACTTTTTGCTAATTTTCAAAAATAAGCTGAGATTTTAGAAAATCTCTCTTTAAGAAATGCTGGACCAATTTTGATGGGTAGCTTTAGAGGCTGACAGAAAATGTTAAAGAACTTCATAGTGTATTTCACTTGACTTTATTGTGCACGATGCACAATCTTGATTTACCCCTGACAGCCCGGGAAATGGGATTGCCTGGAAGGGCTATAGCCCCTTTCTTCTCTTTTTATTTTTATCAGGTTAATGACGACTCTCAGGGCCTATCTCTTCTTTACCTGTGTGTATTCGTGTTATATGTATTCGTAGACGGCAGTGGCGTAGCGAGGGGGGGGCTTTAGCCCCCCCAAGTTTGGTTCAAGCCCCCCAACTCCTGGTCGGAATACGTCCACCCCACCCCCCCACCCCGACGAAGAGAAGTAAGCCCCCCCAACGTTCCGCTTAGTCCCCCATTGACGAAAACCTGGCTACCCCACTGGTAGACGGGCATGTTTTTGGGAATGATTTCGCATTTTCTGCCGTTCTGAAAAACGTACGACTGGAAATTCATATCCTTGACTGATAGATGATTGATTCCGACGTAATTTCTGGCATAGGTTTTTTTTTTAGGATGACGGAAGGCGCGAAATCGTCTACCACTAGGCACCCAATTACGAACTGGCGCCTCTGCCTTATTATTAATTGTGTTGTTGAGGGTTCTCAAGTCTAATCCCACGGAGAAGATGAAGTGATGAAATTAAAGGAGTAGAATGGATTGGAGCAGGTACAGATACAAGTAACTACAGCAACAGCAAGTCAACCCATTGGTGGAACAATCGTGAACTACAGCAGTCCAAATATTACGCAATAATTACTTATGTTGAGATTAATACGTCCATTTTCACCTTACTTTCTGATCCACCCTCGTATCTCTCGTATTAGTAGTCCAACTATTGTTGGGGCAATGTAATCAGTACCGTACGGAGGAGTCTGCGAACGGTGCACCCGCACGGGGCACCGATTAACTGCCAATCACTGCAAAATTTGAATAAAATTTGGAAAAATTGCAAACTATCCTGAACTTAACTAAATTAAACAGAAATGAATACGTAATATTGGGTTGGAAAGAAAGTCTTGCAACACTTTCTAAAAAAACATGTCATAGACAACAATGGTCATTACATTGTAGACTGAAGTTGCATTTCAATAAAGTTATAAAATTTTGACAAATTTGCGCAGAGTTGCAAGACTTTCTTTCCAACCCAATACATACATATTTGGTGCTGGGGAAGCTGAAGAGGTATTGAGGAGGTGGGGGCTCTGGATTGATGCGTCGCACAGGGCGCCAAAGATCCTCGGTACGGTCCTGAGAGTAATGTATAAGGTAAAAGCATGGAACACAGTGTGCTGATTTTTTATTCTGATAATGTTAAAAATATAATGCTAAGGTGTGGCTTGTGTCCGGATCAGAAATGGAGTCCAACCCAGACGCCGCTGACAGTTCGCAAGTATTTCGTAATGAACTCTCTATTATGAATTGTTTTCTTATCTTCATTGGCCAAATTGTAGACAATATTCATCCAATGAGGGATATGTTGAATTAGGGACGTCTAGTTTAGGATGTTTCTGTGTCCTTTGGGATGGAAGCACTGGACAATCTCCTTCGCTGAGGAAATCTAACTTACCTCTGAAAACTGAACCAATTTATGAGGGATCTCGCAGAGATGGCTCAGCAACCTCCTCACACTCACTCGTGCTAAGGATTGGGTTCTAAGGCCCAAGGGCGGTTGGAATGCAATGAAGTCCACGCATTTATATCGCACTTTTCTCAACTTCCTTGACTCTCATCTCATGGCCATGCACGCATCTGTGGAGTCCAGTTCTTCGATCTTGGGATTTCTGGAATTACTTTTAGATCTGCATCAAAGGTCAGAGCAATGGTAAATTTAATTGACCATATGATTAGACGGCTTCCCCCCCCCCCCCTCCCCTCCCTCCCTCAGGGTTTGTTTGAAATTGTGTCAAATTTTCCCGTTCTCTTTTATCGAAAGAAAGTGATACCTCTAGTAGCGACAAGCCCTGCATTTGGCTCTGACTGAGTAATCGAAGACCCACTGAACAGAGCAGTGAAAATGAGCCCTCGTTACCCATGTAGCCATGAGTAACAGTGGTTTGGTTAATTCCGTTTTCTTGGGCTTCTGGTTTTGTGATATGGTGCAGTCTGTTGTTACTATTGCACGGCACGAACCTCAACAGTGGCAATTCTCGGAATGTATAGTTTTCATGACCTGGCTTCTGTATTCAACTCCAAAAACTGCGCAGGCCTTTCTCTTAGTGCAAATTCTTAGGTAATTGGTAGTGAGGAGTGAAGGATACCAGTAATGACGAGATGTACCGTGCCGGTTAAGAAAGTGGCTGTCTTATTGAGCATACAGTCGCGGAAAATTTATTTTGGATTTCCTGGAAATGTTACCAAGAAAGGGCATTGAAAGCAAAAGGTAAAATTTAATTTTCATGAACAACGAGCGTTCTGGGGACGCTTTTTGCGTCCGTGAACGAATGGAAATTTTGCCTCTTAGGTATTACGGATGTTTCACATATTTCAGAAAATGTTTTGAAGCTCTCCATATCTGCACTTGGCTACACAAAGGAACACAGTGCACTGTAGAGATGGACGATGCGATTGATACTTCCTTTCGAAACTTGTTCAACGACTGTGTTGCTCTAGGACCGAGGATTCCGGCGTTCACGAGCTTCATGCAGGTGACCGCCACAGAGGAAGTTGTGGTAATCAAAATAAGTATCAAAATAAGAGCAAGATGGAGTAGTGATAATACTGTACAGAAGGCTGTCTCAAGCTTTGTTTGACCATTTTCAAAATATATTTAGTCTAATCAGGGAAAGATAAATAACCTTGGTGAGACATGTGGTTGGGCACGAAGCAAACTTTTTTCTTGTGAAGTAAGAGGCCAATACGTTGGCGAACCATGAAGCCTGTTGACTGTGTCGTGGAGAGATACCTGAAACACCTTTCAATGAGTGATTACTCATGCAAAACGATCGATCATAAGTGTTGCTTTAATGGATGGCGTGTATCCAAAGGAACAGGGTCAACATCATCAGTTACTATGGAAAGAGACGAGGAGCGAAAACTTCACGCCTTTGTGCATTTCAGATCTGAAACCTCATCCAAGGCCAATACGTAACACAAAGCTTATGTCTCAAATGATTCTTATTGAGGACATTGAAAAATCCCCTCAGACATCAATTGCAAGTCGACCGCATGTGTCCAAGAGGACTAATGCCAGGGTCATCCGTCAGGATCCCAAAATGAAAGAAAAACACTAGAAGCCTCAGCCAAAAGCACATCAGGGAGAAAAATACAAAAGACAGAAAATTGTACGAGCGCTGTCTGGCCAGTGAAAGGTATTGCACAAGTATATTTTTACGCTTGTTGAAGATTGAACGCCCCATCTTGATTGTGGAAAGAACCCGTCTATTTACTACCGAAAACTAGGTTTGGAGATTCCTGAAGCGTGCCTTGGGATTTGGCGCCGAAATCTTCGGGAGGACTTTGTTGGAGAGGAATGGGACAAATTGATCTGTAAAGCTCTGGTAGGGTGGAAATTTGAGGTATCGAGCAGTACTTCAGAATCAAGGACACCTCGTAGGGCGTGATCGTTTCTGGAAGAAGTGGAAATAGTCATATTCGGAATAAAAAATGGTCAAGTAAAGTTGAGGCAGCCTAATTCTGTAGTAGATGAATGAAGGTAATTGAGGTACATATTGAAGATCACTTTCCATCGGGACAAAGGACCACCGAGCTCTCCTATGAGAGTTTCAGAATGAACATTTATTTTATTAAAGAAAGTTGACATTCCCTGAAACGCTTGCAAAACCAAATGCCAATCTGGACATATTTGTGAGGTTATGGCAAAGTTTCTAACAGCAGTATGCAATCATGAATGAAAGCCTCGCGCTACACAGACACATATGCATCCAGGTGATTGCATACGTAACCTCGTCCTCAAAGAATGGAGGTCCACTAAAAAGATGCAGTGCCTTGCCGTGTTAGGCTGAGTTTGACTCGTGCTGTACAGCATGCTAGATGCTGCAACTGCATACTGTCCAATGCAACATGCCCGTGTTGGATTGGATTTTGCTGAGTATGAACTAGGCCTTAGGTTCGAGACAGGTGCCGCGTGATACAAGGGACTCTCCTATTTTTTCCCCTCGGGAGAAACCTTAGGCGAGGTCCTCCCCCCCCCCCCCCCCCCCCCCCCCTCCTCCCCCAGCCTTTGTGAAGACCTGGAATTTCTNCCCCTGGGGGGGGGCCCCCCCCCCCCCCCCCCCCCCCTCTGAAAAGGGCGATATTTAGCGGAAATGAACTGACAAGTTGACTATTGACAAGAAGCTCTGACTTCGAAAGATTTTTATGATAATGATTACCGTTTCCTCAAGTCCGCAGGGAGACGAGAACAAAACCTGATGTGGAGAAACAGGACTATGGGAAATTTGCCGTTTTCGTTTCATCAGTTTTTGACATAAAAGATTAGATGTTCTCGTGGCGATCAATAAACGTTTTACCGTTCTACTTTAGAAACCTAACTAAATTTTCTCTGAAAGAGGGGGGGGGAGGAGTTGTGGGGTTGTAGGGCGAGACTAGCTGCTTTTGGCGCCCCGCTTGCAGAGCGGGCTTTTCAGAAGTCCACTCGAATGAAGAGATCAGTGAGTGTCGTCCCGAGAGGTGAATTCCTCTTTCTCATCCAGCATAAGGAGAGTCTTATCATTCATGTCAAGAAGGTATTGCACGGAAGTGAACCCGAAGTCATTGGGTGCTTGGCTTGTCCTTCAAGACCTGTTAACGTTCTCCAGCCCTCTTCCAATGGATCTCTTTCAATCATCTGTTCCACTGGCCTCTTCACTGTGCCACGCATGGGCCTAACTTGGTCTGCCCCTTTCTAGCCCTGCTTAGACCTAGATCGTAGTGTAGATATTGCGAATCTGACAGAAAAAGTCCATTGTCATTGGCCTAGGCCCAAGATAGGCTATCAATGCAACTTGAGTAATTATTATTCAATGCTATATCCCTTCAGGCTTTTAAGTACTTATCCTGTGAGTTTCTCACTGCTAATTAATTGCATTAGTTATTACCTCATATAACCAACATATTTCAGTATTTTAGAACAACAATTTAAAAAAATTATTGGACCTATTTTTTTGAGCCAACACCTGGTAAGATATTATAAACTAAGGACATGAAAAGCTTGAACAGCAAGCGCCTCATTGCTTTAAGCAGTTTTCCCCTTCAAAAACTATCTGGAGTTAGGTTTTAAAATGATATTTTTTCAGCAGCAGCTGTCATTTTCAAAGCAGACACACAAAGCCACATAGATGATACAAGGTTCTCACTCACTTCAGGATGATGGAATTTGGAAATGAAAGATTTTTGAGCCCTCTACCACAGTGTTTCCCATACAACTGACAACCAATACTCTACATGAAAGTAATTGAACTCCATTAAAACTGCAAAAAATGTAATCACTTATCAAAAACAAAAATTGGCTTAGAATTCAGTACTTCAGTACTCATTGGGTCTACCTTGTAGTAATAGTAATTTAAAGTCAATTAAAATGAAATTCTATGCAATGAAGTTCTTGGGATTGGCCCAGACCTAAACTCAGTCATAATACACCCTTTAAAGCTTTAGGCTTAACTTTAGCATAAACTGACTATAGGACCTACCTGAAAGATGTAGATGTGGCATTCCCTATTTAGTGGGAATATTTAAAGAGTTGTTATAGGAAGCTCATATCAGCTCATCAGGTGTTTGCTTATTTCATCCCAGTAGGTCTGCAGCAATGAGATTTTGAGTTAGGCTATGCCAGATAGAAATACTTTCTCTATAGGGTACCTTTTCAGTAGCCAACATCAATAGGGCCTCACAAGAGGCTTTTGTTTGACAGGCAACCATGTAGGCATCAAATGCAATTATGTTTCTCATAGGACTTCAATAAAAACTAAAAAAAAGTGAATAAATTATGTGAAGCAACCAAAACACTAATGAATGTGCCAGGATATATTTGTAAGAAAATCAGTATCTAATTTATTACCATGCTGGTGTTTGGTCACACCTCCTAAGGAGCATTTTTGCAGTATTTTTACAAGATACTGTTGCTCTGTGACACTGGTCCCAACTGTGTAACACCCTGGCTTAGACCTAGTGCCATTTAAAATTAATTCTAAAGAGAATAGATAAAGGCAAAAATTGCTAAACTGATGATAAAGGATTAATTAGAATTAAATCTATGAAGGTCTAAGTGCATATCAAGGCCTGTGTTCCATAGTTGAAGTCTCTAAGAGACAGTAATACTCTTACTGCAAATTGGGTAGTCTTAGCATTTCTAAGTCAACTAAACTAGGTCTGCTAGTTGTGACATAGTCTTCAAGTTTTGTCAATTCTGTTCTGATATTGTGGGATCAGGCACTCATCACTCACATGCATAAAAATTAGACACCAGGAGAGCAATACAGCAGATTTGAGATATTTATTGAAGTCTCCAATATGAAAATGTTATGTCTCTTGAATAAATAAAAGAGGTAGTTAATAAGAAACCAGACATTTTATTTTTCTCTGAAGGTTCAACGGATAATGAGTTTGAAAGAAAAATTTACATCATTGCTCATGTAAGCTGCCAAGTTAACTTCATTAGTCTGCATGGAAATCACCATGAACTTTTAAAAATATGTCTTCAATTACTAGGCATTGCATTATCTTGCAGGTGTTACAGCAGTCTCACCAGAGTCATCGAAAAAGAAGAGGTTGTTGCTGGAACATGTAGTGGAGCTTATGTCATTCTTGTCTGTCAAAGTGCAGCATTTTACCAAGTCTTCACATATCCAGAAGAGACAGTCAACCCTAGCCCTGTTTCAAGGGCCCTGATTTACCAGACAGCTGTATGTAATATCTTGCTGAGAACAGACACTCTGCAAAACTTATTTCAGTATTTCTCAGTTACTCTGTATTTGCATTTATTGGTGTTTTTTTTGACAGAAGGAAGGTTTGTTGCTGGAAGTGGTCCCAGTAGGTTTCGGGAGCAGAGATGAATCTGAAGTCCTTATCATTTGCCTTCCCAATGGTAAAATTCTTAGTTCCTCAATCCCAAACCTCCAGTTCTCAACACTCTGTGATCTTAAGCAGCCTCCATCCTACATTGGGGTCACACAACGTAAGTTCAAGAAGTAGCATGCCATGCATACTGTGCAGAAGAGTCCTTGAGCTATGTATGAAGAAGGTGCTTCTCTTGAATCCTCATGAGATTGTGTCCAATGCATGTGATTTTGTTGAAGTAATGCTGCTCTGACACCCATGAGCATAGTCTCTTCTGAAGAGATTCAAGGAGTTTACAAAACCTCCAGGAAAAAGCATAACTAATAGAAGTAGATGCCATTTCTAGGATATACAGTAGTTTATTTGCAAAGCAATATCCCCATCACAGTATCTTATAAATTGACCTGTCCTTGTTTTGTTTTTTCTCCATAGGAGATGGTACAAGCAGCCTGGTTGTGATTGGAGAGCAAGGGAAGATGCTGTTCATTCGTCCACTGGGGAATGGGAAGATTTCCATGCAGGAAATAGTTGAGGATAGTCCCATTTTAGATGCCTGCATTCTGGGCTCTGATATCCTCTTTGCCACTCCCATGACTCTCTTTCACCTGCAGCATGATCCACAGAATGATTCTGCAAGAGCCATTGCAACAAAGCATTCTGGTGTCATAGCTCTCTGTTCATTCTTAAACACAATCGCCTTAATTACCTGGGATGAAAAGTTATATCTTCTCAGTCTTGAAGAAGCAACATCCCCATCATTGGAAGATTCAAGAAAAGCTGGTGTTGTGGGATGTAGTAGTTTGGAGGCCTTAGCTCTTCAGATGGAACAGTGTGAGACCAGCATGAGAGAACTCAATGGGTTTCTGGATCAGATTCAGCTAGGCCAAATCTGCAAATATGACTTTCCTTCAGTCAGACAGAAACCAGAAGTGGAAGTATTGGTGACTCCTGACCCAACTTCACATGTGCAACAAATAACAGCTGTGATCAAATCTCATATGGGAAGCAAATTCTGTCCACAACATTGGGGATGCTGCATCAGTGTTAAGAGTAAAGATGTCACTTGGGTTTTGTCCACACCAAATCTTGTTGGGGGGAGCATTCATGTTCCCACAGGTGCATTCTTGGATGGAGCTTCCATTGATGTGGCATTAAATCTATTTTCTCCTTTGGTTCTGAATCAAAATTTGTTGATCAGTCACATTAGGGTTCAACATCAGAAGGAGGACTGCCTATCTGTGATCAATCAGCATGTCATTCCAGAAGCTGTGAGCCCTAAATCTCTCCTCTTACAAAAGACACCAGTGCATCATCATGTGAGGATGTCTCTGCCTGTATCAGGAGAGTCTGTTGCTCTGGACACAATCATCAAATCCCACCGTGTCAAAGTAACAAGTGATGCACTCTCCTGTTTCATCCTCAAGGAGCCTGTGAACATCATCTCTACATCAATTGATGAAAACCTGTGTCTCGTTGAGATCTCTGGTACTTCTCATGAAGTACTTTTGAGAGTTAAAGCTGCTCTGAGAGAGCGATTCTTAACTTTAAAGCAAGAGTGTGGACATGGAGAAGGACCATGGAAGAGGTGTCTTATGGCTGCTATGGGAAAATGTGGATCAATTTTGGCAACCATGGACAAAGTTGTGAGTCGAATTTACTCCTGCAATGATGTCCTTGAACTAAGGGATGAGCTTCGCCAAGAGGTCTCCAACTCTATCCCTATTGCCTAGTCCCACCAGAGTGTTTGGCTTCACCCAACCTTCCAGTTGTTTCCTCTTTGATATGGGGAGAATACTAAAGATTACTGCTGGCCAGATGTGTGTTGTACATCACTCTTAAGATATTGCAGTTCTTTGGTGTAGAGAAAGATGATCCTCTAAAAATGTCATGACTTGGAATGCCATGGAAATGAGGGTATGAGTATGTAAACTCTATCTAATTCTTTCCTTGTAACATCAGCTGTAGACACCCACACCCTGTCATTCTGAAATACCTGTACATGGCCATCTGCCACAGTATTGGCTTTCATGGCTGTCAAAATTGCTAGTAATTAGTTATTAGAAAGAGGCATATCTCTATGATAGAGACCTGATCTCCCTGTATGTGGAAATCTAAACTGAAGGAAAGGAAGCATCACATTTTGAGGCTGAATGATTCAAAGGAGTCCGTCAGGTCCTCATTCTTGGCAACGGTCACTTAACTTCGTAATTTTGACCAATACCCAGTACAGTACCCAGGAAAATTTCCCAACTGGCTTTGCGAGTTGTTTTCAGTTGGTGCAAATTAACTCACAGCTGGAGCTGTCTGTATATTTATAATGGGCAACTCATGTTTCCGACTGGAATTAGCTCTTATGATCCAATTGGATGCAGGCCAGCTCCCTGCCCAGTTGGAAAATTTCAAAAGGCTCAAACTGGTGACATTTCCGTACAAAATAGCCTCCCACAATTATTTACTTCCCTCTAAAAAAAAAATTATTAGCCCTCTACCTGGTGGTTGGAAGCAGTCCATTCTCTGCCATTAGATTTTCTGAATGCAAAACATCGCCGTCGAACAGTCTCAATTTTGATCGCGTCAACAAAGTGGAAAGGTATTGGAAATATAAAAATAAGTTTCTCAATGCCCCCCCCCCTACTGGGAAATACTGGTTGGGGGGCTGATTGAAGTGTTTCTTGAGGCCGGGAGAAAGTGAAGGTGCAGGCATTTGATGAAAGGGAATTAATATGCCTCTCCACAGTGCCAGTCCCACTTACCCACTCTCCCTCTTCGACTCTCCCCTGCTGAGATCATGTTGGTGTAACATTGAGAGGCGTTGGAACTTTTCGATATTTTTCTAATTCGAGCGCTAAAAATCGACATTGCCCGTTACCGATGGAAGTCGGTAGAAAATTAGCAAACATACTGGAAATACCATTCAATTTGAGGGGAAATTCGACCATGTATCGGTCGCATTCTCGTTGGAATCAGTTTATCTGATTAGCTATCGGTGACGAAAAGATCGTACCACTCGACTGAGTTTGCCTAATCCCATCTTCCTCCTCGGACTTCCTACAGGTTTATTGCTAGGAGAAAATATATCTGCCGAAGTCCAGAAACCAGGGCCGGCCCTAGCTATTTCGGTGCCCTGTGCAAAGAGACTTCCAATTCGGGGGGAATTGGAAGTCTCTTTGCACACTCTGCGTTGGTGGGGGACCAACAGAAGGGAGGAGGGTCAATCCCTAGCGTCCAAAAAAAAAAAGACGCCGAAACAGAAGGCATTTCCACTTTCTTAAGTAAAATCGAGGATGGCATTCATCATTGCTTTGTTTATTCAGGCCCCTTTTTGCGCCCTGTGTGGGAGCACATGCCTAAGGCCGGCCCTGCCAGAAAATTATTTGTTCCTTTATTTATTTCCATCGAATGCATTTTTTAAATTATGAAATCTACAGGCTATCCCAAAAGGTGAAACCTATAATCAAATTGAATAACGAGAACAGTTTGAGCCGTTCAGCAGAAATGCAAGTGCAAGCACCTCGGTTGTGATGATTATGCGCTGCCTACAGTAAGCTCATCCATAGCTCGTATTTGGAGCAGTACCAATGCAAAATGTTCTGCGATCCTGCTTGGCTATTTTCCATACTATCTGCGAAATTCTCGCTGCACAAGAGTAACGCTTTTTCATTTCACTTACGGAACACGCTTATCTTTCTCTGACTGTGACGCCTCTATTTACAAGGATGTTGGCTTGCAACCTAGTGGGGAATACTCAAGGATCTAAGGAATCTGTTATCACCATTTCTACTGCACGGCTCGAACAACTATTCTCGTTATTCGATTTGATTATAGATGGGAAAAAAAGGAGTTACATAATCATGCAGGTATGTTTACAGCTTCATCTATGCAGCTCAAATGACTGTCTTGTTATACTAATTTAATTATTGAAGATACCTTTGGGACACCTTGCATATTTATCGAGCAAAATCTCTAACTTCTGACCCTTCTCATGACAGACATCTGCGTACATAACGACCTGTAGATTGTGTACATGACCGGATTTTGTACAGAGAACTCTTCACAGGTTTCTCAATCGATTTTAACTATCGATAGCTTATTCAAAGTCTAATCTGCAAAATTGCAGATGAACCAATGTCGAGTTTTTTACGAGTTGACCTTTGGGCCTGATCCGAATGACCTTTGTAATCATTTTAAACCGGCTTTTTTAATTATAGTAACATCATTCAAAAGCCTTTGCTTTCCTCTGTTATGATTTTTCCTTGCCTATTAAAAAGTTGCTATTTTATCACGTTACGGTCGATGCGAGATGTGAATGCACTAGCGCCATCTGTGTACAACCATGAGAACTGCTTTTGAGATTACAGCCCTAGTTTTCAATGCTTGAGTTTCCCATCGCAGCTCATTTTTCTTCCCGGTTGCTCTGTGAAGCAGTCCTTTTCATCATCGGTGTTTCTTGCACAATAGCGGGTGTCGGTATTGGCATGCATCCGATTTCCTACGATTTTGCTGTATCTTATCTCCCCTTTTCCGCTCGAGGTGGGGAGCAGAGGACCGTATGAAGATCCAACAGCAGCATATGGGGCGAGGCCACGCCTAATGAGTTGCTGGGTCTGGACCTACTTCAAGACTTCACCGTGAAGCTGGAAACAATCGATACCTTATGAGGAATATATCTAGTTATCCGAGGAAGATATTCGGTTCGATGGGTTTAACCACACCGAATTTCAGATATCGATTATCGGATATCCATTAGCAGAATTTCGTCATTTCGACCAAGTCTGATTATGATTGCAGCCCCGATTCACTGTTCAAAATTTCACCTTCGATGCATGTTTCACATCTGTGATATGACCCTGACGTCAATCGAGGGGGACTCGAGCTAGAATTTGCGGCTTATTTCCCGAAGAAAAGTGATTCCCTCCTCATGCACGCAAAGACGGCGGCAGGAAAATGCAAGAGGCAACATCCATCAGCCCAACGACCACAAGAGAGAGAGAGAGAGAGCGCGAATCCCCTGCGAGAGCGAGACCGACGCGGATCCCTGCGGAGGGCGGAGTGCCGAGGCCGAACGCGGAGGAAACGAGATCGTGTGGAATGCGATCGATTGCTCCCTTTCCCGGTTTCGTATGTAAAGTACCAGATATGTATATATGTATTAGTACCATTTATCTTGAGGAAATCATTAGAGGGTGGACTTCCTGATGGTTTTGCAAGATCGGTACACACTACGTACACACTACGACGACGTTGGTCCGCACTCGCCGAGAAAAGCCACGCCAGAGCAAGAAGCTCGACGTGTGAATGCAGTCCTCATTTCCTCGAGTCGATCGCGTAACGGATCCAAGTAATTGGGAAAAATAATAATTTAATGCCGCTCGACACGTACCGACCGACATCGTTGCGTGTATCTGACCGATGCCCCTTCTGTGACTATCTTTAAGAAGAAACTAGATGCTTTCATGGAACTCTTGATATCACTAACTCTCCTGACTCCTGACTCCTGATGCCACAAAACCGTCAGGAAGTCCACGGTTTAACGATTTTGAACGTCGGGTCAGAAATATCTCGAGAACCGTTTGTTGCAGAACTCTGAAATTTGGAATTTTTTCATAAGTCGGGGAAGTCACCATGCCCGAGTTTTCTCGAGTAAATCCCTGTCGGACGC